CCAGTGTCTGTGTGGGTCCACAGACTCAACACTTCCTCAGTGTTATTTGTTATTGTTTTTAACACTGGAGAATTTGCTGTGTAGATATCGTCATCTAGTCTTTGTTATATTGGAGGGTTGAGGATGAGAAGGATTGTAAGTTAACATGGCCTAATGTATAGGATCATATCAGTCTTGTAGTATTTGTAGTACTTGGGTTGAAGTGTTGTTGGTGTATTCTATGCAAAGGTAGATACTGTAGTTGAGGATTGAAGGTACCAACTGTCCGTCAACAACTCAAAGCACTGGTTTTAGTCTGAGAGTTGAGATGTCCTCTCCCTCTAAACCTAAATGTATGACCTTAAGAAGCCTAAATGATCTCTTAGCATACCGTAAAACGTCAATTAAACGCTGTCTCAAGCAGCTGCCTGTCCCTTTTAATAGCCAGGCGATGTCACACATTTCAGCAAATAAACGCCTGTTTTAAATGAACGCTGTGTCTAAATTAATTGTTTACGAGGTTACCATTCAATAATTAGGTAATGATTCGAAAAAATTATGGCAATCATCAGTTTTTATCGGCAGTAAGAAATAGCTAGCCATTGGCTGCTAAAGCTGAGAACCGCTAGATAACTGGCAAGCACAAAAACAGTCAACAACTTCAGGACGACAGACCCCTAGAAATCTAGTGGAAAAAGGAAGAACTGCCAAAAAGGTGAAGGAAATGAAGAAATTGATTAAAATCTGGAAGTGAATGCTGGAATTAAACAATTAACTATGCAAATGAGAAAAAGCTGTGTGCATTAAGGAAATAGACACCTGGTTCAAATAGCAGCCTGTCTCTAAGATGCACCTTTTGTGTTCAGTGATTTAAGCAAATAAGTACCCAGGCTAGTTTTACGGTATAAAATGTCCTGGCCACACTGCTACTCATCTCACTGTGAAGTAGAGAAAGAGAGAGAGAGGGTGCTTACATGTGAACCACTACAGTATATCCATCCATTTTCAGTAGATCAGTGTCTCTGAGGCTGCGTCCCAAATGGCACCCTATTCCCTATATAGTGCCATTTGGGACACAGCCTCTGTGTCTCTTCTAGTGGGCTGAAATGACCCAGCTTGGGAATTAACAACTGTTGAAAGCAGCGTGGAGAGTCTTAAGCTTTACACTCGAATGAAGCCCACAGAATCACTCTCCCTTTCTTTCTGTGCTTGCTCCTCTCCTCTCTCTCTCTAGCACTTTCTTCCTGTGCACTCTCCCGCCCTCTTTCTCTCTTTCTCACTCTCTATCTCTTGCTGTCACTGTTTCTTACTCTATGCCTTATCTCCCCCCTCTCTTCTCTAACCCTTCATCTCATCTCTCTCCCCCTCATTCCTCTTTTCATCTCTTTCAAACCCTCTACTCTCTCTCCCCTCCCCTCCATCCCTCCACACTGTTTTGAAGCTAGATCCTTTACAGGGATCCTCCTTAGTATTTGTTCTAGTAATGTGCTATTAGATGGGCAGCTTGTGGGTCTCTAGCAGTGGGGGACCTGTCAGATGTTGTTTACACAAATAGAGGCAGGTATGTTGTTGACTAAGTTGCCTCTTACCTTGTGTGTCCTTCGTGATCAACAATGAAGAACCGCGCTAGACAGCAGGCGTGTCCTAATAGCTCAGTTCTTTACTATCGATGCCTTTGTTGCATACTAAAGCACTCTATGATACTTTAATATAGTGTAGTAGTACATACTGTATAGTCAAGAATATGCTTTCAAATGTAGGTCTAAGATAGTTATGTGTCAGGGTACATTTGTACTGTCATGGTAGCCTGGACCCAATATCATGAGGTGAAATCAAACAATTTAGTTTGGAACCAGGCTACTGTCATGGACGGAGACAGGCTGAGACTGAGAGGAATGTTGGAATTCCAGGCTAACAGACTGACTAACTTCAGGTGTACAGACATTTACACAACCAGGCTTTCTGAAAACCTTGGTGCTTTTTCTCTATCCCCCCGTTATCTCTCTCCTAATCCTTCTTTACCCTCTTCTCCCCTCCTTTTCCTCTCTTCCCCCTTTAACATGAATCATCCCTCTGGTATTGGTTGTTGGGTATGACACACCAACCTCCCCCATCTTCTCCCTACAGGTTCCAGTGCCCTCAGTTGTCCGAACATTCCAAGTTAGTTTTCATTCCTTCTTTGTTTTCTACCTATTTAAGCATATCCCCATCCTCTCCTGCCAGTCAAACTATCTCTTCTCTATAGATATCTAGAGAGAGAGATCTGAGAGAGCGAGAGAGGGAGAGAGAGAGAGGAGAGAGTTTTCTAGATCTTTTCTATGGAATCATCATTAGGTAATAGTATAATCTCTTATTCATATATATATGTATCTTATCTATGGATATAGTACTAGCATATCTATATCTCTAGATCTCATACTCTCTCTCATATTCTCTATATATCTCTCTCTTTATATATAGCATCTATCTCTATCTGTCTATGTATCTGTATCTCTCTCTCTCTGTATCTACTCTTCTCTCGTTCATCTGTCTTTCGTCCTCTGTCTATCTCTTCTTCATTCTCTTCTATTCTTCTCTCTCTATATGCTATCTCTATCTCTTTCTCTCATCTCTCTCTCTCGTCTCTCTCTCTTCTCTATCTCTCTCTCTTCTCTCTCCTCTCTCTATCTCTCTTCTCTCTCTCTCTCTCTCCCCTCTCTCTCCTTCTCTCTCTCTCTCTCTCTCTCTCTCTCTCTCTCTCTCTCTCTGTCTCTGTCTCTGTGTCTCTCTGTCTCTCTGTCTCTGTGTCTCTGTCTCTCTCTGTCTCTCTGTCTCTCTGCCTCTCTCTCTCTCTCTCTCTCTGCCTCTCTCTCTCTCTCTGCCTCTCTCTCTCTCTCTGCCTCTCTCTCTCTCTCTGCCTCTGTCTCTGTCTCTCTCTCTCTCTCTCTCTCTCTCTCTCTCTCTCTCTCTGCGTCTGTCTGTCTGTCTGTCTGTCTGTCTGTCTGTCTGTGTCTCTCTCTCTCTCTCGCTCTCTCTTCTCTCTCTATCTGATATCTGAGTCACTCTAAATCAGTTTTCTCAGTAGCACAATCACAGCTCAGACTGTGCCTCAGGGGGAGTTGGGATATGCAAAAATTACATTTCCAATTCACACATGTACAAGTGTGTATTATACGTATGTGTGAATTGTAAATGTATTTTTTGCATATCCCAACTCCCCCTGAGGCACAGTCTGAGCTGTAATAGAAGAAATATAAGCACCCATCAATTAGTATTAGTACTGATCATGTTCTGTATATACAATAGTTAGTTTATGTAGTCAGTGAATGTTGCACCAAAACCTACAGGAAGTGTTATGATGGTGCTACTTTGGGAGCTGAGGTGGAACACCCCACTCCCCTCCTCCAACAACACCCACCTCCACCCTCTCTAATCATTCTCCACTGCTGTTTTCTGTATGTCACCCACTAAGGCCATCTCATCTCAGCTCCATGCTAGCTGCACCTTCTCTGTGAACATTTGATTCCCCCCCTCCCCCTCCCCACTAGTCGTATCACTTCCTTTCCACAGGCTGGCCTCAGAACTTTCACCTGGCTGATAACTATCCACAGTGTTTGATTGGATGGTTGGATGGCTGTTTGTGGGAGGTCAGGGGTTATAGGAGAGAGTCAGGGGTTAGAGGTCAGAGCTTAGGGTCTTTAATAATAATCCTATACGATGATAACGCAGTTATATACATAGAGGTTCTTGAATATGATACAATCAATTTATTCTTTGAATAAATATTAAATGTTTGAGACATTTTGTGTCTGGGTTTGTTGTTTAGTGGTGTCTAGGTCTCTGTCTGTTCTGTCATTTTGGAGGATAATCCATTTGTTATTGATTTGAGGAGAAAGCCGAGATGAAAGATTGTTCCTGCATGAAGTCCTAAGCTCTTGCCGCTGAATGAGATTATATATACTGTACATGATTGTGTTCTGTAAGTCCCACACTTTGAGGTTACAATTTCAGCATCATTAGTTTCAGGATCAATAGCTATATATATCCTGGTAGCAACTGTATGTGGTATATTTTCTTTCCAGAATCACATGTTATTTGTGAATAAAGTGTTTTGCTTTGTGATAATACCATTACTAATGTATTAAGATGTTGTCTTATCTAGCTATAGCAAGGGATAGTTTTAACTTAACATTTCATGGAAAAATGGAAAGTGACCTGTTGTTAAAACATAATGCTCTGAACGCCTCCTGACCCCTCCCACTCGTACTTATGTTGCTGTGGGCTACAGCCAACCAACAGCATGCTGATGCACTCACTTGCTCACTCACTCCTTTCACAGGAGTGACCCACAGCATGGTGTTGTAGAGCTAGACTTAGATTTCACCTCTCTCTCTCTCTCTCTCTCTCTCTCTCTCTCTCTCTCTCTCTCTCTCTCTCTCTCTCTCTCTCTCTCTCTCTCTCTCTCTCTCTCTCTCTCTCTCTCTCTCTCTCTCTCTCTCTCTCTCTCTCTCTCTCCACACACTTCTTTCCATATCACCACTCTCAATGAGCTCTGTGCTTTGTCATTGCACATGCATCAGTTCTCTGGTTGCATATCTCACATTCAGTGTGCATATGTCTGTTGCGTGCGGGTGGTGCATGCATGTGTGCAGGTTAGCTTTTTCATCATGAATCTTTTTCTGGAGGCAGCTCTGCACAACGGACACTAGCTGGCACAGCCACAAAGTAATACAATCTGATTTTAAACCTAACCTTAACCTTAACCACACTGCTAACCCTAATGCCTAACCTTAAGTTAAGAACAAAAAGCACATTTTGTTTTCATAAATGTTTACAATATAGCCAATTTCGACTTTGCAGCTGGCCCATCTAGCAGAAATCGCTCAGTTCTGCCTCCAGGACAAGACTCATCCCTATAAACGTCAACCTGCTGCAAGTGTGTGTGCGTCCATATATCACACTGTGTTATACGCTTCATCCATAGCTGAAGGAAAGTTTTATTTACTGCTGTAAATAGGTAACCCTCTTCCTCTCTCCTTCAGGGATGAGGGAGCACCCTCCCATCTCCACCACTGATCTGGCTAGCCACTTGGAGCGACTTAAGGCCAACGACGGACTCCGCTTCTCACAGGAGTATGAGGTAACTACCCCTGCTCTGCCCAGCTGACCACCACTGGTTGTCTACAACTCAGTTCGCTCATATACTGTGGTCTCTATAGTCTCCAGATCTATAGTCTCTCTCAACAGACTAGCTTGACACTCTGATTATGGCTCACACACTGCCCTGCAACCACTGGCTGTCTTTATCACTACACTCTTAGAAAAGAAGGTGCTATTTAGAACCTAAAAGGGTTCTTCGGCTGTCCCCATAGGATAACCCTTTGAAGAACCCTTTTTGGTTCCAGGTAGAACCCTTTCGGTAACGATGACACAGTCGATGACGTGGCACGCAACCATTGGTTGATGCATACAATGTCTCGGCAGGGGAACGCAACCATTGGGCGGATTCGATTATGCTGAGCCACGGGGCACCGGCCTATGGCCTGTGACGTGAATGGGCAAAAGCGGTGACCGAGGAGTGCCCTTCTCAAATCAAACAGTAATCTGCGCCGCTCGGTTATGTTGTCAACAAGGCAGCATGGTGCATCATTCAGTAACATACAACATATATGTAAAACATATGGGCGGCAGGTAGCTTAGTGGTTAAGAGCGTTGTGCCAGTAACCGAAAGGTCGCTGGTTCTAATCCCAGAGCCGACTAGGTGAAAAATCTGTCGATGTGCCCTTGAGCAAGGCACTTAACCCTAATTGCTCCAGTAAGTCGCTCTGGATAAGAGCGTCTGCTAAAATGTTAAATATACTTTTCCATAAAATATATGTTAGAATTTTCAAACTATTTTTCATTGGGATAAAGCAATTTTTGCATGTGAAAACACAGAATCTTACTCATTAAGAGTCATTGCTTCTCCATATATGTATTCTTAAATTCCATTCCTTACTTAGATTGTGTGTATTGGGTATATGTTGTGAAATTGTTAGATATTAATGCACTGTCGGAGCTAGAAGCACAAGCATTTCGCTACACCCGCAATAACATCTGCTAAACACGTGTATGTGACAAATAAAAATTGATTTGATTACTCCACGTTCTTAATTACGTCACTTTCGTTTTGAGCCGACTTCGCAGTGGGCTTTGAACGGGGCACCTGGCTCACGCCCCCTAGGCAGCCTGATTCCAAAACAAATGCAATCAACATTCACCCAGTGCAAAACACACCTACCCGGGCACACGGGCCAGATTAATCGCATCCCCTTATTGTCTGCTTATTGCCCCTGCCCCGTGGAGGGTTTGCCCCAGAGCGAACTGGCAACATTTTGCCAGTGAAATATATTTTGCCAGTGAGATGTTTCGCTCTGGGGCATCCCCTCCACGGGGCGGGGGCAATAAGCAGACCTGAGTGGGCCTGCCCCGATCCTAAAATAATTAGGGGGTGTCTCGCTTTCTGTCTCTGCCTCAAATTTCTTCCCTGTTGTCAGCTAGTGATAGCAAAGATGATCTATTATATTGACAAGAGGTTCAAGTAACTGCTCTAACAATGAAAATACTCCTCAAAGATGGAAGGCAAGCGGAAGGAGACGAGATCAGGTGGGATCATTCTAGCCAATGAGAGGGCAGATACGTGTGTGAACAACAGGCATAACTAAGTTGTTTTTCTCAAAGTTGCAGAATGCTAGGTTGTACATTTGTAACAACCTAAACATTACTCTGTGATCAAATAAGAATTTGACACTCTCTCATAGACCTCCATGCAAAAAGGTCTGCTTATCTCGTGGAGACGATTTTGGGCGGAGGTAATCCTCTCGCTTTGCTTCTTCCTCTCTGGTGATAGCTAGGGATAGTGATGCACAAGCTAGGCCTATTTGAAACATTGTCGTCTACACACACTTTGTTCTGCCATTTAGAACAGAGTGTGAGTCTGTGATTGGCCTCTAACACACACATTTGTATAAGTATAATCCTAATACAGTCATCACTACTCAAAGTGTAGTAGTCCTCAGAGTACTGTGAGTGTCTTTAATAAGTTATGAATACTGTTTAAATTAAGTTTGGTTGGGATAGAAGGCCAGACTATGTCAACTGTTTAAAGGGTTTACAAAACAATTAGGTAAAATTATGCAAATAGCTAGTAAAAAGTCTGAGCTAAAATTCTCACACATAGACCTTTATTCTTAATTGCCTACGATTAGTGATTCATGATCACTGCCTGCTAATGTGTGGTGAGTGCTGCCTTGCGCCAGTCCAAGACTCTCACTAAGGAATCCTTCTTTCTCCCTGCCTGCGCTGTATTCAGACAGGTGAAAACAATGACAGTTGTTAGTTGATTGTGCCTTACACTGTTTGGCACATTCTGTCCAACTCCAACGTTTCCTCATTAGTGGGGACTGAGGCCTTCTGCTGACACAGAGGAAGGAAGCAACACCATATGCTCAGGGAGCGTCAATTCAGCCAGAGATGACAAATTTATGATTGGGACTTTGCAAACAATTTATGAGAGGGCTTGGCTGGTAATGTACGCTGGGGAGTGACAACAGAAATAAATCAGGCTTTTCACCAGACACAATTACATCCTAATGTGCCTCGCTAGATTAGGATATCATCGGATAAAGAATGGGAGATGCTTTTTAAATACTGCTGTGCCGCTGCTGCATCGCTCAGTTATAGCAAATCATAGGTCTGTTTAACATTTCTAGTGCGTTCGATCCACTGTATTGCCTGTGTGGCTGTTTTTCCCTCAGTGGATCTGTAGACAGGTGCCATAAATAACAACAAGCGCACACAGCCATGCGCACACACATACGCACACACACACTGTAAGACTTTTCTGTAATTTCAACAGTAAAACACTTTAGAATGGACAGTAAAATATTGTACATTTGTTTTACAGCACACTGTAAGACTTTTCTGTTATTTCAATAGTAAAACACTGTAGAACGCACAATAAAATACCTTAAATGTGTTTTACAGAATTATGGTGCATTGTGGGAAAATGTTGTGGGCGGGGAAGAGTCTCTGGCTTATTAACATATTTTAAGGCGTGCATTGTAAGAGGCTATATTTGTTGACCCGTGAGTGAGAATGCTGTATCCACAGAGAATACAGTAATATACTGTATTTTAGAAAGCTTGAACTTCTCTCCCCCTACACCTGCACCCTTTGTTCTGCCATTTAGAACAGAGTATGAGTCTGTGATTGGCCTCTAACACACACATTTGTATAAGTATAATTCTAATGCAGTCATCACACTCAAAGTGTAGTAGTCCTCAGAGTACTGTGAGTGTCTTTAATAGGTTATGAATACTGTTTAAATGACATTTCAATGGTGAGGGTTGGGATAGAAGCCCAGACTATGTCAACTGTTGTCTTTTAAAGGGTGAACAAAGCAATTAGGTAGTAAAAGTCTGAGCTAAAGTTCTCACTCTGGTTTGTAGGGGCAACACACACGCACACATATACACACACACACCTTTATTTTTAATTGCCTACGATGAGTGATTCATGATCACTGCCAGCTACTGAGTGGTGAGTGCTGCCTTGTGCCAGTCCAAGACTCTCACTAAGGAATCCTTCATTCTCCCTGCCTGCGCTGTATTCAGACAGGTGAAAACAATGACAGTTGTTAGTTGATTGTGCCTTACTCTGTTTGGCACATTCTGTCCAACTCCAACGTTTCCTCAGTAGTGGGGACTGATGCCTTTTGCTGACCTAGAGGAAGGAAGCAACACCATATGCTCAGGGAGCGTTGATTCAGCCAGAGATGACAAATTTAGGATTGGGAATTTGCAAACAATTTATGAGAGAGCTTGGCTGGTAATGTACACTGGGGAGTGACCACAGGTATTAACCAGGCTTTTCACCCGACACAATCACCTCCTAATGTGCCTCGCTAGATTAGGATCTCATCCCAAAAAAATAATGTGAGATGCTTTTTAAATACTGCTGTGCCGCTGCTGCATCGCTCAGTTATAGCAAATGATAGGTCTGTTTAACATTTCTAGTGCATTTGATCTACTGCATAGCCCATGTGGCTGTTTTTCCCTCGGTGGATCTGTAGACAGGTGCCATAAATAACAACACACACACACACACATAGTCTTGTACAGCTAACCTTGTGGGGACACACATTTCAGTCCCATTAAAAATCCTATTTTCCCTAACCCTAAACCTAAATCTAACCCTAACCCTAGCTCCTAACCCTAACCTTAAAACTAACCCTAGCTCCTAACCCTTAACATAATTCAAACCCTAACACTAATTGTAACCTTAACGTAATTCAAACCCTAACACTAATTCTAACTAATTCTACTTCTCAGTATTTGAGGAATTCGACAAACCTTGTCCTGAAAATCTATAGTAAATTACTGGCCAATTGCTGCCATTAATTTTACTGTAATTCAGAATACAGTACCATATTGCATTTTGAACATGAGTGGGAGTATGGTATTGTTGTTTCTGACTCATTAACATATTTTGAGGTTTGTCTTGTAAGAGACTATATTTGTTGCACCCGTTAGTGAGAATGCTGTACGAATTTAACTGATATGTGGTAGTAATTCCGTAAGAACATATTTATCTAGGGAACAGATCAGAGTGGGAGCAAGTCTCAAACCTTTAATGATTGAGTGGCTAGCCATGCCGTTTTGATCTGTTTTGATTGTAATCACTATCAGTTTAGTAGTGATGGGAAACCGAGGCTTTCTGAAGGCTTCGGCGCTTTCACCAAATTGTGCTGAAAAACGGTTAATTATCTGTTCACAATGCACTTTAGTGACATCTGCTGGTCAGCAATAAATAGCAGCGTGTGATTATCAGATAGAGGTATTTTTTCTCTGTTGTATCCGTCATAACATTGTGGTGCAGCGGTAAGTTGTTTGCTTTAGTAGCCTATAATCAGTTGGAATACCAGGTTTGTATCTTACATCATGCTTCCCTTTTTTTGCCTTCAAGTTCTCTTTTTCAAAAATGGAATCTATGGCATTATTTAGGATGCTTAAGACAGAAGCTTATACTATACTAAATAAAACAAATTATTTTAACAGCAATGCAGATAGAACAATTTTCAAAATAGTGTGCCTTCAACGGGATTCAACCTCATACCCTCACATCCCTGAATGTTCCCTACTCTACCTGCTAAACTACCAGTCAGGTGAAACCTTTTGTACACAATCATAACAATATGTAAGTACGACGAAATCAGTGGGATCTCGCATTTTGCAACACACGGTTTGAAAAAGCACGTGATCAAATTAAGCTTCAGACGTCATTGGTGACGTACTTCTGATAAAGTGATACACGCATCGGCACACTGCTTCGAAGTTAGCTTCTTAGCGATTTCAACTCATGCCTCGGAGCTCCGGTATCAAGAGTAACATCACTACAGTTGACTCCAACCTCTCCACAATGGCAAAGACCAGAGAATAGAGCTTTTTGGTCTAAATTCCACTCACCGTGTTTGGAGGAAGAAGAAGGATGAGTACAACCCCAAGAACACCATCCCAACCGTGAAGCATGGAGGTGGAAACATCATTCTTTGGGGATGCTTTTCTGCAAAGGGGACAGGACGACTGCACCGTATTGAGGGGAGGATGGATGGGGCCATGTATCGTGAGATCTTGGCCAACAACCTCCTACCCTCAGTAAGAGCATTGAAGATGGGTGGTGGCTGGGTCTTCCAGCATGACAATGACCCGAAACACACAGCCAGGGCAACTAAGGAGTGGCTCCATAAGAAGCATCTCAAGGTCCTGGAGTGGCCTAGCCAGTCTCCAGACCTGAACCCAATAGAAAATCTTTGGAGGGATCTGAAAGTCCGTATTGCCCAGCGACAGCCCCAAAACCTGAAGGATCTGGAGAAGGTCTGTATGGAGGAGTGGGCCAAAATCCCTGCTGCAGTGTGTGCAAACCTGGTCAAGACCTACAGGAAACGTATGATCTCTGTAATTGCAAACAAAGGTTTCTGTATCAAATATTAAGTTCTGCTTTTCTGATGTATCAAATACTTATGTCATGCAATAAAATGCAAAATAATTACTAAAAAATCATGTGATCATGTGATTTTCTGGATTTTTGTTTTAGATTCCGTCTCTCACAGTTGAAGTGTACCTATGATAAAAATTACAGACCTACATGCTTTGTAAGTAGGAAAACCTGCAAAATTGGCAGTGTATCAAATACTTGTTCTCCCCACTGTACATATGAGATGAGTAGTGCAAGATATGTAAACATGATTAAAGTGACTAGTGTTCCAAGTGTCCAGTGATTTCAATAGGCAGCAGCAGCCTCTAATGTGCTAGTGATGGCTATTTAACAGTCTGATGGCCTTGAGATAACAGCTGTTTTTCATTCTCTCGGTCCCAGCTTTGATGCAACTGTACTGACCTCGTCTTCTGGATGATAGCGGGGTGAACAGGCAGTGGCTCAGGTGGTTGATGTCCTTAATGATCTTTTTGGACTTCCTGTGACATCAGGTGCTGTAGGTGTCTTGGAGGGCGGGTAGTTTGCCCCCGGTAATGTGTTTGGCAGACCGCACCACCTTCTGGAGAGCCCTGCAGTTGCGGGCGGTGCAGTTGCCGTACCAGGCAGTGATACAGCCCGACAGGATGCTCTCAATTGTGCATCTGTAAAAGTTTGTGAGGGTTTTAGGTGCCAAGCCAAATTTCTTCAGCCTCCTGAGGCTGAAGAGGCTCTGTTGCGCCTTCTTCACCATACTGTCTGCGTGGGTGGACCATTTCAGTTTGTCAGTGATGTGTTCGCCAAGGAACTTGAAGCTTTCCACCTTCTCCACTGCGGTCCCGTCAATGTGGATAGCGGGGTGCACCCTCTGCTGTTTCCTGAAGTCCACGATCATCTCCTTTGTTTTGTTGACGTTGAGTGAGAGGTTATTTTCCTGGCACCACACTCCCAGAGTCCTCACCTCCTCCCTGTAGGCGGTCTCGTCATTGTTGGTAATCAAGCCTACTACTGTTGTGTCGTCTGCAAACTTGATGATTGAGTTGAAGGCGTGCTTGGCCACGCAGTCATAGTCATGGGTTAACAGGGAGTACAGGTGGGGGCTGAGCATGCACCCTTGTGGGGCCCCAGTGTTGAGGATCAGTAAAGTGGAGATATTGTTTCCTACGTTCTATGATAAATACAACAAACAATGTCTTTCAGCCACTCGGCCAGACAGACTGTCAGCCGTATTGTATGTGCAGATGTGTGCGTGACTGTGTGTGTGTGTGTGTGTGTGTGTAAGCAATTTTTTTACAGTTTGTACTGTATCAGTGCATGTGTGGGTGGTGTGTTTGGGCATGTTAGCAGGGAAATAGCTTATTATAATCCTGCACTATTATCACCCTCCTTAGAGAAGCTAGAGAAATTTTAGAGAAATAAAAAATGTATTTGTTATATAAACAGAATAGTACACCGTGCTACCTGTGTAGCTAACTGAAGCAGTAATATAGAAGTATGTTAAGAATTACAAAAGACACAATATAAGTAGTGAATGCCACAAATGGCAGGGTCCATAGGGCTCTAGTCAAAACTAGTGCACTATATATGGAATAATATTGGGCCATTTGGGCCACAGTCAGTTACTGTATGAAGTGTATTGACAGGATTTGATATCAGCTGAAATACAGGAGCTATTCTTGAAGCATCACCATGCTGCTGGTTTAGGATGCAGCTTGTGGAAAACACACACACACACACACACACACACACACACACACACACACACACACACACACACACACACACACACACACACACACACACACACAGCTAGTGGAAAACAAGCTGAGGGCTCTTCAAATGTCAAAGTCAATTTTCCTCGCCTATGTAAATTCAGCCTCTTGTGCCAAACGTTAGCATGGTATCTCTGCCTCACAGAGGTACACATGGTGGCGGCCCTCTGGGCTTTTGTCTTTTTATCTGACTGTTTTGTGGGTTCCTGTTTTGTTTCTGGGAGGAATGGAAATGCGGCAGTGTCGGCAAGAGAGCGTGATTGCAGTGACATCCACGGTAACTGATATTCACATCCGCGGGGCGCATTAGCAATAATGTGTGTGATTTGTCAGAGCAACGCAGCAAAGGCTTTACCTAATAGGCTGTTAAATAAGATGTGCGCTCAACCTCTCTCACCAATGTCATTCTTATCGGCAGTCAGACTGGGGTCCACGTGCCTTCCCAGCCAGTCAGTCAGGAGGAAACAACCAGAATGTGCAGCCTTTTTTCAGTGTGTGTGTGTGTGTGTGTGTGTGTGTGTGTGTGTGTGTGTGTGTGTGTGTGTGTGTGTGTGTGTGTGTGGGAGAAAAGGGGGTTGCGGAGAGAGTATGTATTTGTTTTTCAGTATGATGTGAGATCAGTGATCAGAACAGAATGGTCAATAATGAATAACAATGTAGTGTTTATCATTATTTAGTTGGACCAGAGCCTTTTTCCAATGCCAGGGATCGATACAGTTCTCAGATGAATCATCAACCTGCATGGCCGTGGCTAACCCATGCCCGGCCTGCCGTATGTTCCGCTCTCCCTCACTGTGTCAGATACTGTAGTATGAACTACTTCTATATACTGTATGTATTTGTGGAGTACTCTATACTACATTGTTCCACCAAGAAACATTGTTTCAACTTCTTTCAATGGTCTCTGGACAGCCTCCTCATTTTCTTCTTCCTTATTTGAAAACAATAGTAATATCTGATTTGTACTAGCTTGTTATAGTGTAGATATTTCCTATTTCCTAGGTTTGGGGTACGGCCACAGTGTTCTAATTCATCCTGAGGGTTCTGCCCTCTCTGTGTGGAGGGGCTTGGAGGTCGTGACCTCAGGCTGGGTAGATTCAGGAACGCTGACAAAGAGGTTGTTTCTGCTCTGTTCACCTCCGTGACTCCTTGATTTCATCAGCACAGCTCTCCTTGGCCATTAGGTGGCCCAGAGATGGTAGAGTCACGACCGAGAGGTGATTTTATGACTACAAACAGCCCGGGGGCAAGCCAGAGTGCTGTGGGATCACATAGGGCTGCTTTTATTACAGAACAGACATTGAAAAGGATGGGGAATGAGTTCTGGTGCCTCCATCATCCTTTAGAATGACACATACTGAACCTACTTTCCTCACAAAACACTGCAAGGCTATTGAGTTTTAAAAAATATGACAGGAAATATTACAATATTTCTTCTTCCTCCTCTCTCTCTGTCTCTCTCTCCTTCCCCCTAACCCCCTTTCTCCATCCCTCCCCCTCTCTCTCTTTCCCTCCCTCCCTCCATCTCTCTTTCCCTCCCTCCCTCCATCTCTCTACCCCCCTCCTTCCCCCTCTCTATCTCCCCTTCTCTCTCTCCCTTGCCCTCTCTCCCTCCATCCCTCCTCCCATCAGTCTGTAGACCCTGGCCAGCAGTTCACGTGGGAACATTCTAACCTGGAAGTAAACAAGCCAAAGAACCGCTATGCAAATGTCATCGCCTACGACCACTCCAGGGTTATCCTCACCTCCGTCGACGGTATGTTTGGTGGATTTGTTGTTGTTGTGAGGCATTTTCAAGGTTTATTTCACTTTTTAAGGCTGGATGTGGGGAGGTAATGTGTTATTAAATAATTGAGCATATCTCAATAAAGAGTTTTTGGGTTGTTGTTTTGGTGTTTTGAGGTGAGGTGTTTTGAGGTGATGTTTTACTTTTTAGGGAGGGGTGGTGGGATGTATTGTGATGTTATTAACTAAGTGAGGCTGTCTCAATAAAGAACATCCAAAGCCAAGTCTGTAGACAGCAAAGACATAAGTCACAACAACAACAATATATCTCTCAACCCAATCCCCAGGTGTGACAATGCTTCTCCCTCACTTACTGTCCGTCTGTCTCAGTTTGGAGTCAGTCAGTGATATACATGTAATTGCATCCTGCTGGTTGTGAATGCGTCTCTCTTCTCTCTAATATGTGGTGATGTGTGGGACTGTTTCATGCTGGGGAGGGGGTGTTGATACCGTGTTGAAACCCTGCTAGGTGGCATCCCAAATGGCATCCTATCCCCTGTATATAGCACACTATTGTACTATATAGTACACTACCCTATGGGCCCTGGTCAAAAGTAGTGCACTATAAAGGGAGCCATTTGGGACACAGCTCTATTGTTTCCTAACACTGCCTTCCTTCACCGTGCTACAGGAGTGCCAGGTAGCGACTACATCAATGCTAACTACATAGACGGCTACAGGAAGCAGAACGACTACATCGCTACACAGGGCCCGCTTCCTGAAACCTTGAGTGACTTCTGGAGGATGGTATGGGAGCAGAGGACTAACACTATCGTCATGATGACCAGACTGGAGGAGAAGTCACGGGTGAGTGACCACACACACACACACACATACACACACACACACACACACACACACACACACACACACACACACACCCCCCCCCCACTCTCTCCCCCCCACACACGTCCTGACCATTGATTCACCCTCTGCAGTCATTGACCCTGCACTCACAGACTATAACAGTCCCAGTAGTCTCACCCTGGCTCTCTAATGGACAGAAGGTGTGAGTGTCGACTGTTAGGTGGCAAAACCCTAATCGAGGTATTTCAATTGACTCGGTAAATAACACTGTGACTGCATGATGGCAGCAAGAGAGAAGGAAGTGTGTAAGTGAGAAGGGTGTCACACACACTATCACTAGCACCATTAATAACTGTGTTCCCTAAAGGTCAACCTATAGTGCCACAGCTTCCAACCAAACTTAATATCACACCTGTCTCTCTGACCCCATGAGGGGTCAACTCATCATTAAATTACCTTTCACCTTTGAATCTTTGCCCCTGTGTGTCATCATCTCCACAGCAAGGTGTCTGCTGGTAATATCCCAACCCCACCTCTGTGTCCTCTGATAAACTCTATTTTCGCTGGTTTTGTCTAGAAGGGATACAGCTTTTGTCAAAATTGACTTTTTGTAGCAGGTTTAGGAGAACTTAAGCAGCAGGTTAGGAGAATTAACATAGCATGTTAGTAGAATTAGGAAAAGGGTTATGCTTAGCTAAAATGAAAAATAATTCAACTTTTGACGTCAATTTAACAAAAGCTGTATTAAATCTAGACATGACAATTTTCACCCCTTACTATCAGTCTCACTAGAGAGGAGAGGACCTGAAAGAGAACAGACCACAGGACTGTTCGTAGCGACTGACATGGGGACGGCCGGGACGCAGTGACACCCCCTCCCCTGTGAACAACCAGAGCACAGTACTAGCCTTCAGTAATGTTAGGGACAGCAGTCATTTCCATGCCGGCTAGGGTCCCTGGTCCTAGATTCCCCTAGAGATGGGCCCCTGATCCCCAGCTGGCCATCCCTCTCTGCTTTTCGCTCTCTCCCCTCTTTCTCTCTCCTTCTCTCCCTCTATCCCCCTCTATCCCTCCATGACATGGATGACACAGTGGAGCAGAAGCAGCTCAAGCTGTTATCTTTAGATCAGCCCCAGTCCCTTACTGTCCCATTCCCTGAACACTTGCCCCTTCTCTCACCCCCAGTCCTTGCCCCTATTCCCTTACTGTAACTGCAGTAACACTATTCTACACTAAGGCTGAACTTCATTGTTCTTTGCCTGTGTGTGTACAGGTGAAGTGTGACCAGTACTGGCCCAGTCGGGGTACAGAGACTTATGGGATGATCCAGGTGACCATGTTGGACACTGTGGAGCTGGCTACCTATAGCGTACGCACCTTCACCCTCTATAAGGTAAGAGCCATACCTGTAGAGGTATAGTATGTATTGTAGCCCAAGAGTGACCAGCTCTTGACCAGCTGGTGGGCAGTGATCCCAGAATGTATTCTCAAGCATTTATCAAATCTCTTGCTAACTAACTCGGTGTTGTAAATATAAATATTTGTTATAGAGACTACCCAGAATGTGGCCACCAGTGTGTGTTTGTGGTGTTCTGATATGTTGCTCTACCAGAATGGCTCCAGTGAGAAGAGAGAGATTTGTCAGTTCCAGTTCATGGCCTGGCCGGACCATGGAGTGCCTGAGTACCCTACCCCCACCCTGGCCTTCCTACGCAGGGTCAAGGCCTGCAACCCGACAGACGCAGGGCCCATGGTGGTCCACTGCAGGTAACCCCCATCTCAGGCACATCTCCTTCATTGCGAACATCTGGAATGAAGTCAAAAAAACTGCCCAGAAAAGGGTTCACTGAAGTTGCACTGTTGAGGCTCTTTCCACTGGTGGAAATAAGCGTAAGCCAGAAACATCTCACAAATGTGTCAGAAGAGATATGTGACTTTTTCCACACAAAACCCACACACATTCACAAACTCTACACACACACACACATAACATACACACGCATACCGAGACAACACAAACACAAACACACATACATACACACGGACACTTTTACACTCATCATTTGCTGCTGCTATTCTGTTCTTTATTTTACTCATATTATGATCTATCCTGATGCCTAATCACTTTACCCTTCCTTCATGTACATATCTACCTTAAATACCTTGTACCTCTGCACATTGCTCTGGTACTGGTACTCCCTGTATACTGTATAGCTCCGTTCTTGTGTATTTATTTCATTCCTCGTGTTACTATTTTATTTGTATTATTATTTTCATTATTTTAAAACTCTGCATCGTTGGGAAGGGCTCGTAAGCAAGCATTTCACGGTAAAGTCTACACCAGTTGTATTCGGCGCATGTGGAAAAAAAATTTTTTCTTTGATTTGTTCCTGTCTGTACATGGCTCTACAGTTACGGTTTCCTGTTTGTCCTCACAGTGCTGGTGTAGGGCGGACCGGTTGCTTCATCGTGATCGAGGCCATGCTGGAGCGTATGAAGCATGAGAAGTCTGTGGATATCTACGGTCATGTGACGTGTATGAGAGCTCAGCGGAACTACATGGTGCAGACGGAGGACCAGTATGTCTTCATCCACGAGGCCCTGCTAGAGGCTGCCACCTGCGGTAACACAGAGGTCCCTGCACGCAACCTGTACGCACACATCCAGAAACTCACCCAGGTCACACCCGGAGACACCGTTACCGCCATGGAGCTAGAGTTCAAGGTAGAGTAACAAAACATGGAGCTTGAGAATATGGTAACAGCCCTGCTTTGTAGCCTGGTCCCAGATGGAAACAATGACCATAGCAGTTGGAAGGACAACACAAACAGTGTGGTAACAGCCCGTCTCCTTGTACATTACAGTTCAGTTCTATGTTATGAACTTAACTTGAAAGATTGTTGAAGCGCAGCCTTGAAGTCAGACTCGAATGCTAGGGACTTGACTTGTTATGCTTGAATTTAAGTGAAATGACTACAAAATTGGCACAGTTACTAACTGGGGCATTTAGTTAACAAACAATAGTAGTAGAGTTGTTGTTGTCGTTGTCGTCTCAGTGTGTACGATGCAGTGGGAGCAGGAAGTGAATGTCTTAGTGTGTTTGGAACGAGGAGGAGGAGGAGGAGGAGGAGGAATTTTCCTCACCCTCACACTAACTCTGAGATTAATAGAATCTCTTAGGAGGGGTGTTCTGTTTCAGAGGCTTATCTTCTGGACTGGGGATGAGAGACTGAGAGTGAAGAAGGGAGGAAGAGAAGAGAGGGGCTCGGGGGATGGAGAGACAGAGCGAGAGAGAGAGAAAGAGAGTGATCTAGTGAGGGAGGAGTGTTGGGGCAGGCTGACTGTCTGACAGCCTGTCGATAAAGCCTCAGTGGGTTGGAGAGCTGATGCATCCTGGGATTGGGCCTATACCACTGGGCTCCAGCGACTCTATTGGTCCCCCTCAGATACTCACTGTCTGCATTCCAAATGGTACCCTATTCCCTATATACTGCACTACTTTTGACTTGGGCCAATAGGGCTCTGAGTAGTGTGCTATGTAGAGATTAGGGTGCCATTTGGGATGCAACAACTCACTGCCTCCCGCTGTAGGAAAACAAAACTGCTCTAACCAGCCTCCTCCTCGGGGACTCACTGCCACAACCCAAATTATGTGGATCAAACTTGTTCAGCAAGCAGGATGATTGTAAATCCGCAGCGAGTATAATTAGGTTTTGATGCTTGGCTCCAATTGCAAATTCGTTTCGCAAGCAAGTTCTGAAATGTACACTTCGTTTTTTTGCTACGATGAAGAATGATATTAGGAGGACCCTGTCAGCAAAGGCAGCAAAAATTTAAAAAACTCTCTCCCCCTCTCATCTGGGAGAAAATGCTTTTACATTTAGTAAGTTTTGTTTTGTTATTCCATCGCTTTGGCATGGATATACTGTAGGCCTGTGGATCTTTCTTAACAGCCGTCTAAAATGTTGTGTGAGCATTTGTTTTAGACTCCCTGACGTCTCCGTACGTGGCTGTGTCGTCGACACTTAGGATGAGTTTAAAGGAGAGAGAGATAGGCGTTGTCAGTGTCAGCATGCTGTTATTTCAAGATTGAGAACAAAGGGGCTTGACTCAAAGCTCATCATTTTCATGCATCAATAATAGTGTTAGCCCCTGTGCCCTCCAACATCACTGCTCATACACAGCAGCGCTAGGTTGGTTGGGATCCCCGGGTTTAGAACTTTGAAAAGACTGGAGTTGGATAGACGGGAAGGAAGGTGGGCGTCAGGGAAAAGCTGTGGCAACAGTTGTCGTCGGGTCAGGGGCAATTTGACTGCACCCCATGGGTGCACTCCATTCTAGTAATTATATTTCCAAGGTTAGGGTTGGTGTTTCTCTACAGTAGCACACCGTTCTTTAATCTGAGCCATGTTTTTAATCCATGCATCCATCCGTGCATCCCTCAACAGTATACCAAAACAAGTAGCGGGGCTGCCATTTTGTAAAAAAAACATCCAAGATTGTATCTTAAATCTGTCCATTCCTCTTCCCTTCCTTCTCCAGAAACTGTCCAACTCTAAAGCACATACCTCAAGATTCATCAGTGCCAGCCTCCCCTGCAACAAGTTGAAGAACCGGCTGGTGAATATCATGCCTTTTGAGTCCACCCGCGTGTGTCTGCAGCCTATCAGAGGTGTGGAAGGCTCCGACTACATTAACGCCAGCTTCATCGACGGATACAGGTGAGAGAGAGGGAGATGAGGAGAGGAGAGAAGGAGGGACGAGAACAGAGGAGAGGAGGAGGGAGGGAGAGGATAGGGGAGAGCAGAGGAGAGGGGAGAGCAGAGAAAGAGAGGAGATTCAGACTGTGAGAAAACGAGAAATGAAATATTCTGAAGACTAGAATAAGTGAGATGGGGGGATGGTGAGAATAGAGGAGATGAAATAGAAATAGAGAAGAGAGAATCCATGCTGCTGACACAGCTCATCTAATGAGCAAGGATGTGAACCTTTCCTGCAGCGGCTGACAGCAGTGGATTATGGTGTGACATGGAGGCCAGTGTTTTTCTGTCTCTCTTCCCCTAGTCGTGTCAGTTGTCAGGGCAAATTGGTCATAGTGGCAGTACTGTCCATTCCTTGCCACATTTCACCTGTGGTAAATAAATAGGCTGTTTGTGGCAGGTGACAAACCACTCCTGGAAGAGGAAAAAAGTGATTACTTATTGTGATGACTGTTCTTGTCTGCTGATTCCCACATTCCTTTACTGTACGGGAAACACTTTTTTCACGCCACCGATACCAAATTGACTTTTTCGTACTAGGTTAGGAGAACTTACGCAGCAGGTTAGCAGAATGAACGTAGCAGTTTAGGAGACTGAGGTTAAGGTTAGGAAAAGGGTTAGGGTTAACGAAAATGCTCTCCTAACCTGCTATGAAAACTTTGTATCGAAGTAATGTGAAAAGAGTGTACTCCTTTACTGTACAGCTGTGCATCCATTGGAATCTGCCCAGCAACACTCAATGGAAGATACAGTATACTGTTTAAAAAAAGGACGTTTTCAATGTCTTTAAAGACATTTGTTGATATTTGGAAAAAGAACAGTGAAAAGAAGCACCTGTTGTTCTTACTGAGATGGATGGAAAGCTAGGTTTTGAGAATTATGTAAGATACAGCTGGGTGTGTACGTGCATGCAAGTGAGCATTAATGTGTGTGTGTTCAGAGATGGGCAGTATTTCTCTCCCGAGTGGCGCAGTGGTCTAAGGCACTGCATCGCAGTACTAGTTGTGCCACTAGAGATCCTGGTTCGAATCCAGGCTCTGTCGTAGCCGGCCGCGACCGGGAGACCCATGGGGCGGCGCACAATTGGCCCAGCGTCGTCCAGGGTAGGGGAGGGAATGGCCGGCAGGGATATAGCTCAGTTGATAGAGCATGGCGTTTGCAACGCCAGGGTTGTGGGTTCGTTTCCAACGGAGGGAACAAAAAATAAATAAATAAAATAATAATGTATGCACTCACTAACTTTAAGTCACTCTGGATAAGAGCGTCTGCTAAATTACTAAAATGTAAATGTAAATACGTATTTTGTATTTACTATTCTATTTGCCTGAACTACATTCCAATGTTTTTTGTAACGAGATACTTTCGAGAGCTGTAATTCGTATTTTCAAAATACAAAATACTTTTCTATACCATTTTATGTAGCGGTTCACGACTTTGTGGCCCCCTTCCAGCCTGCATTGGTATCAGAAGTCTGATGGCACTATGGTGTGATAAGAGTCTGTTAAATGACCAAATTGTAAATGTATATATTAAAATGAAAACTTGTAAAGCATGCTGAGTATTATTCGAATGAGTCCAATAAAAAACCCAGTGTGCTTTGCAGTTGTTCATTTCACATTTACATTTACAGTTTGGTCATTTATTTTGATATGTTGGTCTTTAGGGTATTTTGTAATGGTATTTTGTAATTTTTCTTTGTGATTTTGGAAGTGTAAACACTGTAATTGGTAGTAATCCACATGCTAAAGACTGAATGGCTGAATGAATAGGAGCTTTTCTCCTTTTTGCGGGATTCGTTGAGGGTTTTCTGTTTGGATTTCCTCATCCTCACCGCTCATCACTTATCACATTCACACACACACACACATTAGCAAGCACACACAAATACACACACACACACACACAAACCTCCTCTGTGCCTAATGAAGTCCCTGTGGCTGCTCCACCTGAGGGAGAGAATGAAAAGAAGGGAGGAGGAGGGAGAGAAGGTGGATGTAATTCCTCTTTAATTCCTGTTGTGGTAATTACGAGTGAATTAAGACATAGAGAGGTGTTAGGCTGCATCCCAAATGGAACCCTATTCCCTATATAGTGCACTTTTGATCAAAAGTAGATAACTATATGGGGAATAGGGTGCCATTTGGGACGCATTCGAGGTGTTAGTGTTCTCTTTCCCGGCAGGCAGGCATCACATCTTTAAAGTGCCAGAGGGGATTAGAATGTCTTGTGAAGAAGGAGAGGAAAATGATGATGACACAATGCTGATGATGTCATTCTTGTTAAGTTTCTGATATCCTGAGGTGGTAATTGAAACTATCTATTCTATTGTCAGATCCACCCACTGACATAATGATGTAAGTCACTGAAGTTGTGCACACCAGCCATTACATACATATCATGTATATTTCTGTTAACATGGAAGGACTTTCTTGGTAGAGCAATTATCTCTATGTATGCCTGTTAATTTATTTATTGCTATTGTTATATCAGAACACTCAGAATCCAATAATTCAGCTGAAGAAACGTAATATCCATGTGTTAGTCAAACCTATCAGACTTTAAAGACCCTTTGAACATTGTGCTGAGGCTGGTCTTAGTTATGACAGAGAGAGAGAGAGAGAGAGAGAGAGAGAGAGAGATAGAGAGAGAGAGAGAGGAGAGAGACGAGAGATGAGACGACGAGATAGAGAGAGGCACTCAGACGATGCCCATGCCAGATCAGCTCTCAGAGCGACGCTCGGTCTATCCCCTTTTGCTCCCTACTCTGCTCTTCCTCTGTCCATCTCTCATCGCCCTCGCTCGCCTCTCGCTCGTCTCCTCGGTCACATCGGCTCTCCTCCCCTGCTCCTCCTACCTCCTAACTCTCCCTTTCCTTACCTTTTTTTATTACATATTTATAAAAATGTTATTATAAAGGGCCCCTTATGTGGGTTTTTGTCCAAAAGGGGAAATTAAGAAGGGATTGAAAATCGAAGCAAAAAGCGGAAATCCGGACCTTCAATTTTTTTTTCGGGATCCGAGCCCCTTAAAAGTTAATTTAACCACAAAATTTAATGAAAAAATCAACCTTTCCCCGGAACCTCCCGCCATTTCTGAGACTAGGCAATACAATGCCGAAAGGAAGGATTTTAATCCTTACTTCTCCTTTGAAATAATTCATGGGAAACCCGGCTCCAAAGGCCTTAACCCAAACCATAAGGCCTTTTCAAGAGAAAAAGAAAAACTTAAACCCCAAAGTTAACCCCGGTCCGGGGAAAATGACCGGGAATAAAAGGTTTTGGGGGAGAAAAAGACAAAAAGGGGACAGAGCGAGGAAAATCCTTTTTTTCGAGTTGAAGACCCACCTTTTCCCCCCCCCAAAACCTTTGAAACCTTGCCAATCAGTAAACTTAAGGAAACCCCGAAGCCCCTTTATGGAAAAAGGGACTTTTTAAAGAAAAGGGAGACCAAAAAAGAATTTAATTGAAAAAAGATAACCCGCGGCGAGTTGGTTTCTGTCAGTTCCCGAGGAAAATTCGGGGGGGAGGGGAAAAAGGGATTTTGAACGGCTATTGCATCTGCCCTTTGGAAGGGTCCCTCCCCATTTCTCCCAAATGGAGGGGGCCCCGGCCCCTCCCCCCGTTTGGGATCCGGGGATTGAGGGGAGTTTTCGAAGAAAAGATGGGGAAAGGGGCCCAGGGAGAAAAGGGGGAAATTTGGGGAGAGAGAGGGGTTGGGCCAAAAGGCCTTTCTCCCTCCCCCCACTCCCTCTCTGTTCCTTGTGACCTGGACGCCCGCAAGGGCCTGCATTCGCTATTCTTAAGGAAATAGAAAATTATTTGAGGCAAAACATAAAAAAACCCAACACAGCCCCCATTTAGCCAAGGGCTCTCAGAACAGTAGGACCACACAGGGCTCAACATGGATACTCTAGGTCTATGGGGATGTATTGAAGTGTACCTTATATCCTTGGTTGTTATGATGTTATCCTCATTCCCTGTGTCATGGCCTTTCCTGTATCCTGACGTACCCCATGTCTCGTGTCTCTCAGGCTGCAGAAGGCCTACATAGCCACCCAGGGCCCACTAGCAGAGACCACAGAGGACTTCTGGAGGATGCTGTGGGAACACAACTCTACCATCGTAGTCATGCTCACCAAACTCAGAGAGATGGGACGGGTGAGTGGAATAGATACTGTACATACACTGTTAATACACATACGCATGCACGAACACACACACACACACACACTAATGGATGGTATTGTTGATATGACAGTTCTGCTTTTGACTGTCATTGTTGTCTGTTTCTTAGGAAAAGTGCCATCAGTACTGGCCAGCTGAGCGCTCTGCCAGGTACCAGTACTTTGTAGTGGACCCCATGGCTGAGTACAACATGCCCCAGTACATCCTCCGAGAGTTCAAGGTCACAGACGCCAGGGTATGTCCATATCTCCATCCATCCTCCATCTTCTCCTTAGTGTCATATATCTCTCTGCTCTATGCATAGGGCTAATTATTGTACATAGCGGTACACTAAGTATATTTTCAGAGTGAATTGTTTGAACACATATAATTATCTCTGCACTGTGGTTATGTTCTGATGTTTTGCATATAGAAATACATTCTGCACTTTACAGCACAGACATTAGTCGCTGTAGCGCACACTGTAAAACAAAAACTGGTAGCATTCCTCCAATTCTGTGGGTATAATGCTTATGTAGTGTTATAAGCATGTATGAGACTTTAAAATACTGACTTTATGTCTATCATCCATTCCTCACCACCTCTAAGGATGGCCAGTCTAGGACCATTCGGCAGTTCCAGTTCACTGATTGGCCAGAACAAGGGGTGCCAAAAACTGGAGAGGGCTTTATCGACTTCATTGGCCAAGTGCATAAAACCAAGGAACAGTTTGGACAGGATGGACCAATCTCTGTGCACTGCAGGTAAGGGAAACCAATGACAATTACCATTGTGTGTGTGCTAGGGTGCCTGACTGCCTGCGTACGTGTGTGTGTGAATGCGTGTGTATCTACAGTGTATAACCCTGTCTTTGCTCCCCCACAGTGCTGGTGTTGGGCGGACTGGTGTGTTCATCACCCTGAGTATCGTGCTGGAGAGGATGAGGTACGAGGGGGTGGTGGACCTCTTCCATACCGCCAAGACACTGAGGACCCAGAGACCTGCCATGGTGCAGACAGAGGTACAATGCAGTCACAACGATACAGTATATTGGGATAGACTGGTTAGAGAGGGGATATGACTATACAGAAGCTCCTGGATAGAGGCAGGTGACCAAGCAAACATAAGGATTCAGTTGAAACAATCGTTTTTTTTTTTTTTTTACAAATCAGATTTATATTGTGTGATGTCCTGTGGTGATACTGTGCCATAATGTTAGAGGAAGGTAGGCAGATATCGGGACGAAACTGGAATGTGGGGTTAGATTACTAAAGTGTAGTTATTTCAACATATTGATACAAACACTCTCCCAGGCAAATGCAGAACTATTAAATCAAATCAAATGTTATTTGTCACATGCGCCGAATACATGTATTGACCTTACCGTGAAATGCTTACTTACGAGCCCTTAACCAACAATGTAGTTCAAGAAATAGAGTTTAAAATATTTACTAAATTAAATAAAGTAACAAATTAAATAAAAAGTAACACAATAAAATAACAATAACGAGGCTATATACAGGGGGTACCGGTACCGAGTCAATGTGTGGGGGTACAGGTTAGTTGAGGTAATTTGTAAATGTAGGTAGGGGTAAAGTGGCTCTATTTGTGATTGTAGATCACTCTCTTGACCGACACTGCTCTGCCCCTCTCTGTTTCCCTCCCAGGAACAGTACCAGTTGTGCTACAGGGCAGCTCTGGAGTACCTTGGCAGCTTTGACCACTATGCAACATAACCACTCCCAGAATGCACTGGGACTCCTGGGGTTCAGGAGCGCCGCCAGTGTGTCCCTTCTGAGCCATATACACCCTGCTGACAAAGTCCAGAAACTGCCGGAGGGGCGAGGGGAGAAGGGAGAGGAAGAGCGGAGAGGGTTGAGGAGGAGGAGGAGGAGGATGAGGGGGGAGAGCACAAGTCTGACTGGACGACTTTCAATCAGGTGGAGCAGTACCCCTGGACTGACTGGCATAATAAACCTGCTTTAAAACCCTCCACTACTCAAATCTACTCCCCCAAAAATAATCTAACAAGCTTCAGTGTGCTTCATTCTGATGTCTCTATACCTAATGCACACACCATAAAATCCCTATTTCTGCCTCCTTCTACTGCTGATATAGCAACGGTTATTTTTCTGCTTTTATTATGCATCAATATCATTATTATTACCCATTATAAGTATGCTATTATTATTATTTTGAATGTATTTTCTAATCATTTATACACTGGTTATTGTATGTCTTAATGTGTCTTATTTTAAATTAATTACTAGTCTTTTTTTCTTTTTCTTTTTTACAAGGGACATGTATTTGAAACATGCTCCGAGTTATTATTAATACTGGAGACATAGGCATACTCAGAGCTGCTAATAATAATTTTATTTTTTACCATAATTATAATATTCTAAAGTTCTCTATTCGCTGGTCGTATTCAGTGGGATATGGGGGACAATCTTTTATACGCCTTTTCACTTCCTGGTACTTTACAAAACAACTAGCTATCTCCACAAAAAGAGATCAAACACATACACCAGAGTTAGTGGACTACTATAAAATAAACCTATATATGGTTATAAAAACTGAATAGAATAATCTTGATGACGTTGGAAAAATCTGCCATGTACAGATTCTGGCTTTTTTCTCAATAACTGTTTACTGTGATTTTCTCAATGCCTGTCGCTCAAAGAGCTCCGGTCCAAACTCTAGACACAGCGACAGAAATACAGAAAACTACCGGTACATGGAAAAGTTGTTTGTCCTGTAACAACACCCTTAGTTGTCACCTCCAGGTTGGTCGAGCCTGGCCTGAGGTTGACTGAACTAAACCATCACTCACAAAAGGCACAGAGGAACTGGCACCCTGGCACTGGTCTGATCTGACAAGCTATACCTGGTTTGGAGAAGCAGAAATACAGTGCTCCACATCACAGACTAATGTACAGCCCCAACAACAACCATCCTATGAGACGTGTTCAAATGACCAGACAGACAGTTATCCATCCATGTATTTCTGATTACCCTTCTGATTCTGAACTATGAACTGCACATGTCCATCTGCAAACGACTGGTCCAGCTCCCCATGACTGGCCAGCTCTGCAGATACAGTAACTGACAACTACCAAGAAGAACGTCTCTCTTCTGACTGTCACTGACTCTACATCCATGGTATAACTGCTGTACTATACTGTATTATCTCCTCACTGTGGTACAGAAGGACATTCTCCTGTAACACAAAGAAGCAGCATCAATGTACGGTGGAGGATCTCTACGTTATAGTCAAGCATTTCTTTCTTAAGTGGGGCTATAGAATTGCAAAATGAGGTGAATTTGGATTTAGTGGGCCTGGAAGGATGGACTACAGAACAGGATTCATTTAACTTTGTCTTCGAATAGTGCCGTAGGGGTTCAATCTGTTTTCTATTTGTCAATAAAAAGGAGAGGAAAAAAATGTTGCAAAAACCTTGATGTTAATAAAGTTGAATAATTTGTTTTTTTATAATGAGGTGGTTGTATGGCTCTTTTTTTGTCTATGTTGTGGACTTTCCATGTACTGTCCTGTGTTGAGATTTGCCTGTATCCTGCACACTCACTCACACACACACACACACACACACACACACGTGCATTCACGCGCACACACACGCAGTCGCAGTCACACACACATACACACACACACACACTGTACCCCTCTCTTCCCCACCCCTATCCGTCCATGGACCTGCTCCCCCTTTATCCATCCCCTTGCCAGTACAACAGATGGTGGTGGATACACCTCCAGCCAGTGCCTGCTTGTGTCCATGGACTTCCTGGACACTGCTGTACAGCCACTCTGTCCTGACAGAACCCCTGGAATATTACAGTCACACAATGGCATAAACAATGAATTGTGCTTTACAGTCGTCAGTAGGTACCAGCATTGTGACTAGGAGGATGTTGAGAATTGTTCAGATCTAACAGTTTGACATGTTAGGTAAACAACAGGTTCCAAAGAGGAATGCTCACTGTGTTGAACATAAAGATAATACAACTTACATTATTGATTCTTCGGCACTCATAAAACACATTAAATTGGTAAATAATAGTTTCAATTGGGGAAAAACAGATCACAGAAAGACTAGTTTGAGAATGTGTAATTTGTACAGAGAAATTGGATGTCCTAATATGACTGAGACTTGATCATTTTTCTTTACATCATCCAACTTTGAATGGCTTATACCATATTAATAGGCTACGATTTGCAGGACCTGAGTAGTATAACAAGGCGGAGTCATAGCAAAATAATTTATTTTGATTAGTCTCGGTTGAGCGTGGGATACGCCCTCATTCATCTTTGTAAACAAACACACACTGAGCATGCGTGCGACACTGGGGTAACTTAATGGAGGACTATCTTTCCTACCCATGGTGAATTGTGAACAAATAATCTTCTGCTTTTGAAGATTTTGAGGGAGCAATCACTCATTACTTTGTCGGCTGTCGTAAGTTCATATTTTAAACTTAAAAACGTGTTTGCTTTTAAGTAGCTAACTAGTGATAAGTAATGTTGCTGAAAATTAATGTCTTTGCTTTTAGTCGAAGCTACGTTAGCCTAACGTACTAAATACTTGCTTCTCAAAGTTGTCTTGCGTTATTCTTAACATGTTTGTCAGTATGACATGATGCATGATACAACTCTTATTACTTTGTCTTTGCTCTAGCTGAATACATTAAGTAAAAAGTGATTCATCTGGCTAGGTTTGTAAGGCATCTTGCTAACGCTAGATCTTTTCCGGGAGTTGGGTGACAACACTGGGCCCGTCGTTAAATGACTTGGCATTCAACCAATCACAAACTTAGGAAATTCATTTAATCAGGATTTCGTCCAATCGGCAGGTGGGCAGGAACTTCACAATGCGAAAACGTTAGCTGGTTAGAGGAATATTAGCATGCTAGCTTTCTTATGTTGTAGGAAGAAAAAGTTCGACAACAACACAACGTTAGCAGCATAGGTAGCTAGCTAACTATCCCACGGAGGATATCAGAATTTAGTAATAGACTGGCTTACTGCTAGGTAACGTTAGCTAGCTAATGTTAACTAACTGGCTGGTTTATATTTGAGTTTTGTTGTTGATTTTAACGTTAGGCATTTGTCAGTGCTAGTTACTACAGCCACAACGTCGAAATGGCTATATCGTAACAAGTCATGAAAACAAACATTTGCTTTTTGGTTTTGGTCTTAATTTAAGGTTAGGCATAAGGTTAGCAGTGAGGTTGAGGTTCGGTTTAAAATAAAATGTTAAGAAGATACACTTTAGAAATAAGCGGGGTTTATGACTTTGTGGGTGTGGTAACTAGTGACGACCGGCATCTAGCTAGTTAATTATTGTCATAGCTATCTAACCCTAACGCATTGTTAGGGTTCTGAACCGAAGTAATTTCGACGGCATTGTCTACCTGGCCCCACAATATGTATATTTCTTGTTCTGTGTATTTGAGTGTTTTTGTGTGATATACACTTCTGTAGTTGCCATGGCGAACTAGTAGTAGCCTAAGCAGAGAGCTCCTGTAAATATGTACATATTTCTAGGTTAAAACACTTTAAATGTGTATCAGCTGTTTTGTTTTTGATAACATTGAGTTTTGTTGCATATTTCTGGTGGTTTTGACCCACAGATGTGCAGATGGACTGGCAGGTCAAGTCTTTATGGCTTAACTAGCTACTTTAGCTGGCTAATTGTTTTTGTTCAAATGATGCATCTGGACACTGTACCAGCTTGTTTGTCAATTGAAGTGTCACCTGAAGCTTGAGAGGAATGGGAGATGCAGCAAAGCAGTGGTCACCAATCCTTTCTGAGTCAATATCACTTTCTGAGGCAAAATGCAAGCCGAGATCTACCGCTCAGATTTTTTGGGAACATGACTTAAAAAACGTAATCCTATGCAACATTAAGCTATTAAAAACAGTACTGTAGCAATGAGGTTTGTGCAGTAGGCTATAGGCCCAATATGTTATCACTGCATATTGGCTTTGCTTGAATTGCCCTGCCAATGCATTGTTCATTATATTAAAACATTTGAAGTAGGATATATGATCACACTGTTAATAGCTCAGTTGTTGTTGTATTACTTGTGAGGCTCAGCTGAGTGAGCATACATTTAAATAATTTGCTTTTTGTTTTTATTTTACTGGGCTGATGGTGCCTGCATCTGATGGTCAGTCTCAGCGGAGGGAGAGAGCAGCAGACTGTTGAGGGTCCGCTTCTCAACGGCTCTCCCTTTCCTCCACTGACACTGACCAAAAAGGGACACTGTCTTCCAGCTGATGGCGAAACTTAGTTGCACTGCATTATTTCTGCCTCATGAACAAATTCATGTTGTTACTCCTATGAACAGAGAAAGTGAAATATTCCTTGATATTAAAAAAGCTGCTGATAATAACAACGAAAGCCTATAGATACACATTCCTGCTCATTCATTACAGCTGCAGTGCTGATTGTTGCACAAATGGAAGTACAAAGAACGCACATTTTATGGCTTATACAAGTATTGAATAAAAAGTGTTGACAGTGCTGAGTAAGAACTTAAACCGCTCTTTGCTGTATTCGTTGACAGTATCTCCCTAGTCTAGGTTGAGCGTGGGATACGCCATTTAGTCAACTGGTCGATTGTTGGTCGATAGGCGGTTGGTCGGCCAATATTTGTTTTTGTTTTTTGAGAAGTTGCAAAAATATATATACAGTACCAGTCAAAAGTTTGGACACACCTACTCATTCCAGGGTTTTTCTTTATTTTACTATTTTCTACATTGTAGAATAATAGTGAAGACATCAAAACTATGAAATAACACATGGAATCATGTAGTAACCAAAAAAGTGTTTAACAAATCAAAATATGCTTTATATTTGAGATTCTTCAAAGTAGCCACCCTTTGCCTTGATGACAGCTTTGCACACTCTTGGCATTCTCTCAACCAGCTTCATGAGGAATACTTTTCCAACAGTCTTCAAGGAGTTCCCACATACTGAGCACTTGTTGGCTGCTTTTCCTTCACTCGGCGGTCCAACTCTCCCAAACCATCTCAATTGGGTTGAGGTCGGGTGATTGTGGAGGCCAGGTCATCTGATGCAGAACTCCATCACTCTCCTTCTTGGTCAAATAGCCCTTACACAGCCTGGAGGTGTGTTTTGGGTCATTGTCCTGTTGAAAAACAAATGATATTCCCACTAAGCGCAAACCATATGGGATGGCATATTTCTGCAGAATGCTGTGGTAGCCATGCTGGTTAAGTGTGCCTTGAATTCTAAATTAATCACCAGTGTCAAAGGTTGTACATTTACAGTTCATTCCCATTTGCAGAGTGCACAATCTAGGCTACACTTGTGAGAAAAAAGTTGTGGTTTATTTCATTCCATTTACGAGTTGTCAATTTATTAATTGTGTTTTGTTTGGAGCGCTCCTGTCAATGTTGAGTGAGGACGCACACCTGATTATGCATAAAAGTAGGCCAGGTATTTGTAGGCTTATAAATGTGCACATTTGGGGATCTGATGGTATTTCTGATTGTCTTAACTCACCACCACTAATGAGCTGTGGAGCTTCTCCAAGTAATATTTTCTTCACCTCAAACAGCAAGTAAACTGTTTTTACATCCATTGATAATGACAATAGTTCCTCAATGTAGCCTATTTGAAAAATCTTTACAGCTAGCTCCCTTTTGTATCAGTGTGAAAAGGGGGGGGGGGGGGGGGGGGGATCAGTAGAAATGGTAGGTTGCCGACCCCTGTTGTAGCCTATTACCGGCAACTTCGGGAGCGTAATGGTAGAATCTACGGGATTTATTTTGGTTAGGCAATCTTGATCTCTGGCTCGCTCTTGAGTCATTTGTGTATCTTAATTACAATTGGAGGTGTACCTGTGGATGTATTTCAAGGCCTAGCTTCAAACTCAGTGCCTCTTTGCTTGACATCATGGGAAAATCAAAAGAAATCAGCCAAGACCTCAGATCTTTTTTTTTTTACTTCCACAAGTCTGGTTCATCCTTGGGAGCAATTTCCAAACGCCTGAAGGTACCACGTTCATCTTTACAAACAATAGTACGCAAGTATAAACACCATGGGATCACGCAGCCGTCATACCGCTCAGGAATGAGACACGTTCTGTCTACTAGAGATTAACGTACTTTGGTGTGAAAAGTGCAAATCAATCCCAGAACAACAGCTAAGAACCTTGTGAAGATGCTGGAGGAAACCGGTACAAAAGTATCTATATCCACAGTAAAAAAAAAAGTCCAATATCGACATAACCTGAAAGGAAGAAGCCACTGCTCCAGGAGGGACTGGTGCACTTCACAAAATAGATGGCATCACGAGGAAGGAAAATTATATGGATATATTGAAGCAATATCTCAATACATCAGTCAGGAAGTTGAAGCTTGGTCGCAAATGGGTCTTCCAAATGGACAATGACCCCAAGCACACTTCTATAGTTGTGACAAAATGGCTTAAGGAGAACAAAGTCAAGGTATTGGAGTGGCCATCACAAAGCCCTGACGTCAATCCTATAGAACATTTGTGGGCAGAACTGAAAAAGTGTGCGAGCAAGGAGGCCTACAAACCTGACTCAGTTACACCAGCTCTGTCAGGAGGAATGGGCCAAAATTCACCCAACTTATTGTGGGAAGCTTGTGGAAGGCTACCCAAAACGTTTGACCCAAGTTAAACAATTCAATGGCAATGCTACCAAATACTAATTGAGTGTATGTAAACTTCTGACCCACTGGGAATGTGATGAAATAAATAAAAACTGAAATAAATCATTCTCTCTGCTATTATTCTGACATTTCACTTTCTTAAAATAAAGTGGTGATCCTAACAGACCTAAGAACCAGGGAATTTTTACTAGGATTAAATGTCAGAAATTGTGAAAAACTGAGTTTAAATGTATTTGGCTAAGGTGTATGTAAACTTCCGACTTCAACTGTATATATGGAAAAATACATGTTTTAAAATTTGACCAGTCAATTGGTTGAAAGAAAAAAATGTTGGGGACATCCCCTACTCTAATCATGGTTATGAAATCTCTTTGCTGTAGCTTTCTTTTATGCCTGCTACATTACTGTAGACACGGTAATCTTTGCCATCTGATTGGCCAGCGGTAGGCCCGGGAAGCTGATTAGGTGCACCTACCGCCAACTGCGTGAGACAAGTAAAAAAAAAAAAAAGTTTTATCATTGTTGTTTTTTCACAGAAATGTTTGGTGATCGACTAGAAATACCTTGGAGGTCGATCGCGAATGGTCCGGTTGGTGACCACTGCAGTAAAGTACTGAGTACTGAGGCAGAGGGTTCGTAGTGAGGACGACTGGCTACTACTCGGAACTGTGTGTGGTGAGCTTTCTGGCGCCCAGAGCTGCTGAGGCATCATCTAAGTGGGTGCCAAACATTGTAAAGGAGGAGGTCCAGTAGCTACACGACTCAGGCTGGTTCCCAGAGTAGCCCTCTATATCAGTGTTTCCCAACAGGGGGTACGTGGGAAGATTTTGTAAAAAAAATTCAAGAAAGAATGTTTCTCATGGGGTACGTGGGAACATTTTTGAAAAAAAATTGTAGTGCGTGTGCATTACTCTGTCTACCGGCCTCTGCCCGCCGCTCGTGCCTAGTGCAGGTGATCCTTTGTTCTGTGCGTTAGAGTGCCTGCAGCTGTTTATCCTCACAGAAACTATGATTGATGCACTGAAGATTGAACCATTGTCAAATAACACAGTGTGCTGTGGGCGTTGATATTGTTGATCAAGTGGTAAAAAAAAAAAAGAGCAAAATCTGGATAGGTAGTCCTGTGTTTATGTGTGCACGGATTGTGCTGCATCAATGCCTGGGAGAGTGAAATGATGAATTGCCCACATAAAGAAGGTAAATTCACAGAGAGGCGTTGGTCAGCAAGAGAATGAGTCCTGAGTTACATGATGTTTTGAGTGACGCAGTGAAAGTGATTAACTTAATCCAGTCCAGTCCTCTGAATTACCAACTGTTTGAAAGGCTCTGTGATGACAGTCGGACTGAGCACCAGCAGCTTCCGCTTAACACTGATGTCCGTTGGGTATCTAGAGGGAAAACGCTACAGAGGCTTTTTGAGCTGCGCGCCGAAGTAAGTGCTTTTCTGTCTGAGCACTCACACCCCCTTGTGGCTGTGTTCGAGGACACAGACTGGGGAGCCTGTCTTGTCTATCTTGCCGATATGTTCAGCACATTGAACAACATTTTACATTTTTTACATTTTAGTCATTTATCAGACGCTCTTATCCAGAGCGATTTACAGTTAGTGAGTGCATACATTTTCATACTGGCCCCCTGTGGGAAACAAATCTACAACCCTGAGGTTGCAAGCGCCATGCTCTGCCAACTGAGCTACACGGGGCAACAACCTGAATCTTACTCTGCAAGGTAAAGACGCACACATTCTAAACATGTATGACAAAGTGTGTAGATTCACGGAGATCAAACTATAGGAAAGGAAGTGTGAAGATGAGGATATAAGTTGTTTCCAGCAGCTTGACCCCTACCTTGCTACAGGGGATTTTGATAGAGCTCCTATGGTGCAAATAGTAACCTCACATTTATCCAAACTCAACAGAGAGTTCAACTCCTACTTCCCTGACATTGAAAACAAGTCTGCCAAACTTGACTGGGTGCATAAACCATTTTTTTGGTAAAACGTACACCTAATATATGAATCACGTCAGTCGCACGCGCATGAGGGGGTACTTCAGGCAGGTCATTGTGTTTTTAGGGGTACAGTACCCAAAAAAGGTTGGGAACCATGCTCTATATGATTGTCACCAGACTCTTCCTCAACCATTCCCTGACCACCTTCCTCTGATCAAGCCATGAACTGTCCCTCCATCTTTTGGAGGATGCATACACTCAAAGACTTGGCCTCTTTTTGTTGACCTAACTATAGCTAGGCTACTCATGATGATGTACCTGTATTGCTTGTTTGTTTTTTGCTTTTGAAGTGCTTTGAGATTATGTAACGCGCTATAGAAATTGTATTTATTATTATTATTATATAACATTAGGGGGTGAAGCTATTGCGTGTGCTAATCAAGTGTAACTGTTGCATCCTGTGTTTGCAATATTAAATCATTAGCTAGTTAGTTTCCATAGTAAGATGAACTTTGTACATATGTAGCACATGGGGATGTGTGAAACAGCCTGAAGTGTCCCCACTTGTGCCGCCGAATTGCTAGCTTTTCGTGTTGCACCGTCTGGTAAGACCCATCAGGAGGGTGGTCACGTGTGCTTGCAAGGCAGAGGTCCCGAGTTCGCGCCAGGTGTGGGCTGAATCGGAAAGGAAGTGGTACTCGCTAAGCAAGCAGTGTGATGTCCTTTACACATAAACCGTAGGGGGTGACAGGTGATCGAGACTGTACATGTTATCAACGATGCAATGCTACAGTCCATTACAATTATTCCTGATATAATTTATTATACAAAGACAAAATTCACAAATGCTATAGCACAACGGCAGAGTCATGTCTTAAGTGTAAAACTAACAGTGACTTAATGATTCATTCCTTCTGGGAATGCTATAAAGTCCAAAAGTTATGGGCGGAATTAGTTGGCTGTCAGAAGTATTACAATATCAATGTACTTTTAATCTGTCTATCTGCATATTTCAAGACATGGCATATGAGGGTGTGGTGAGATACTCAATGGGTTGGACTGTACTTTTCTCGTAAATCATTTTGAAATTATTTGTTTAAAAACTGGAAATCAAATTACAATCGTTAAGACAGTGCATGAATCAAATGTATTATTTAAATATTGAAAACATATGGGCTACAGAGAGAGAAACAGAATAGAGCAATTTGAGGTCATATGGCATAAAGTCTTAGAAGCACTAGAAGTTGAAACGGTGGGGACATGTGGGTCTGAGCAGGTGTTATGTCATCAGTGTTTGTGTGTCTGTCTATAGTTTTTTGTCTATGTGTGGTTTATATTGTTTGAAAAATTAATTAAAACATTTGTACAAAAATATTTACTAATTATTCCTGATAACTAGACCCATGTGAGAAGCCCTCAAACTTAAAGGAAGAATCCACCCAAAACCACTAATTCCTTTAATTTACAGTGTTAAATAACACTAATATTTTGTCGTTAAAATAAGGTTGGTAGCAATATGGAAAATATCTTGTGGAAATCTGTTGCAGCGCAAATCAACTACAAAATCAGCAATGCTCTCTCTACGGCCTGGCTGGCTAGCTAGCTAGCTAGCTAGCTAGCTAGCAAGCAAACGTAGCTACACACAATAATACCAAAGACAATATCAGCATGTAACGTAGCTAGTTAACTGTAAAATCGGCTAAACAAACTGCACTATCAATTTCAGCAAGAAGTACAACATTACAAATATTTTCCGTGATGATAATTAACTTGCCATCTGTAGTAACATATAGCTTTGGAATCGTGACATTACGTACTTTCGAGGAAAATACGCGCGTTTCTCGACACACTGACTTTGAGAAGGGATGTGTGACGATTAGTTTAGCAACCGCGTGATGCAGCATGACCACGTGAATGCAATTGGTTGACAGTCTGCTGGGTGGGGCCTTATACATTCCTTAATTCCTATCTCCTTTCTATAATCTCTCTGACAACGGCATCATACAATGGACCCTGGACTAAAGAGGCAGACAAATAGGAAAAATGTGCTAGACCCTCTGTTAAATAACGCATTTCTTGAGGTAGGAATATCGCAAAAATATCAATGGTTCATTCGAGAGAAGACATTCTCCTGTGTTATGATATCGGCCAGTATTGAAATCTGACATGTATGATAGACGTTTCCGCGATATAAACTGTATTCCTATTAACTTTCAGTGTAGTGAGAGCGACTTTATCACGGTGCTACGGCATACCGGCTGGATTTCTGCCTGCTTGAACGCCAATAACTAAGATACACATGACAACATGAAATGACCCAGGGAATCGATAGAACATCACTCAGAGATGCACAAAAACAATATAACATTCAAAATGGGTGAACCTTTCCTTTACCACAAAATGATAAGTCAGAGGTGAAGCATTGGCTATCTAAATGTGATCAGATCAACACCAAAACATATGTTCTCTCTTGTCCAGTGTCTGCAGATCAGAGCGACTCAAGGATGGCGACAGACACTGCGTCCCAGCAGACTCCTGGCTCCAGGATCATGACCTTTCACCCTACCAAGGAGGAGTTTAAGGACTTCAGCCGTTACATCGCCTACATGGAGTCACAAGGAGCTCACCGAGCTGGAATGGCTAAGGTTAGTGTGCGTGCGTGTGTGTGTATTTCTGAAGATCATAAGCATTCATCATTCTATGTTTCTAATGTTTATATCCCATTTTATAAAGAATACACTCTGCATGAATTGTAAGACAATGCTATGTGTTTTGTGTGTGTTGCAGGTTATTCCACCCAAAGACTGGAAGCCCAGACGTACCTATGATGACATAGATGACCTGGTGATCCCTGCTCCTATACAGCAAGTGGTGACTGGCCAGTCCGGTCTCTTCACACAGTACAACATCCAAAAGAAACCCATGACAGTCCGGGAGTTCCGCAAGACTGCCAACACAGACAAGTGAGCTTTCACACTGTTAAACACATGGTTATACACATGGTTGTAACATAGTACTCAATGTTAACATAGTTATACACATGGTACATGTTATAGGACACATGATGCATAGTTATAGGCTACACATGGTTTTAATATTGGTTTTATTTCTCAAAACACTGTTGAAGCCATGGATTACAGGCAACATCCGCACCGAGCTAAAGGCTAGAGCTGACGCTTTCAAGGAGCGGGACACTAATCCGGACGCTTATAAGAAATCCCGCTATGCCCTCAGACGAACCGTCAAACAGGCAAAGCGTCAATATAGGACTAAGATTGAATACTACTACACCGGCTCTGACGCTCGTCGGATGTGCCATGGCTTGCAAACTATTACGGACTACAAAGGGAAACCCAGCCGCGAGCTGCCCAGTGACGCGAGCCTACCAGACGGGCTAAATGCCTTTTATCCTTGCTTTGAGGCAAGCAACACTGAAGAATGCATGAGAGCACCAGCTGTTCCGGACGACTGTGTGATCACGCTCTCCGTAGCCGACGTGAGCAAGACCTTTAAACAGGTCAACATTCACAAGACCGCGTGGCCAGACGGACTACCAGGACGTGTACTCAGAGCATGCGCAGACCAACTGGCAAGTGTCTTCACTGACATTTTCAACCTCTCCCTGACCGAGCCTGTAATACCTACATGTTTCAAGCAGACCACCATAGTCTGTGTGCCCAAGAAAGCGAAGTTAACCTGCCTAAATGACTACCATCCCGTAGCACACACGTTGGTAGCCATGAAGTGCTTTGAAAGGCTGGTCATGGCTCACATCAACACCATCATCCCAGAAACCCTAGACTCACTCCAATTTGCATACCGCCCCAACAGATCCACAGATGACGCAATCTCAATCGCACTCCACACTGCCCTTTCCCACCTGGACAAAAGGAACACCTACAGTGCCTTCGGAAAGTATTTAGACCCCTTGACTTTTTCAAAATGTTGTTACGTTACAGCCTTATTCTAAAATTGATTAAATTGTTCCCCCCCCCCCCCCCCCCCCACACACATCAATGTACACACAATACCCCATAATGACAAAGCTCATTTATGATTTTTTTAAAATGGAAATATCACATTTACATAAGTATTCAGAGCCTTTACTCAGTACTTTGTTGAAACACCTTTTGGAAGCGATTATAGCATCAAATCTTCTTGGGTATGACGGTACAAGCTTGGCACAGCTGTATTCGGGGAGTTTCTCCCATTCTTATCTGCAGTTCCTCTCAAGGTCTGTCAGGTTAGATGCTGCACAGCTATTTTCAGGTCTCTCCAGAGATGTTAGATCGGGTTCAAGTCCTGGCTGTGGCTGGGCCACTCAAGGACATTGAGACTTGTCCCGAAGCCACTCCTGCGTTGTCTTGGCAGTGTGCTTAGGTTCGTTGTCCTGTTGGAAGGTGAACCTTTGCCCCAGTCTGAGGTCCTGAGCGCTCTGAAGCAGGTTTTCATCAAGGATCTCTCTGTACTTTTCTCTGTTCATCTTTCCCTCGATCCTGACTAGTCTCCCTGTCCCTGCCGCTGAAAAACATCCCCACAGCATGATGCTGCCACCACCATGCTTCACCGAAGGGATGGTGCCAGGTTTACTCCAGACATGATGCTTGGCATTCAGGGCAAAGAGTTCAATCTTGGTTTCATCAGACCAGATAATCTTGTTTCTCATGGTCTGAGAGTCCTCTATGTGCCTTTTTGGCAAATTCCAAGCGGGCTGTCATGTGCCTTTTACTGAGGAGTGGCTTCTGTCTGGCCACTCTACCATAAAGACCTGATTGGTGGAGTGCTGCAGAGATTGTTGTGCTTCTGGAAGGTTCTCCCATCTCCACAGAGGAACTCTGGAGCTCTGTCAGTGTGACCATTGGGTTCTTAGTCACCTCCCTGACCAAGGCCCTTCTCCCCCGATTGCTCAGTTTGGCTGGGCGGCCAGCTCTAGGAAGAGTCTTGGTGGTTCCAAACTTCTTACATTTAAGAATGATGGGGTCCTTCAATGCTGCAGAAATTTTTTGGTACCTTCCCTAGATCTGTGCCTCGACACAATGCTGTCTCAGAGCTCTACGGACAATTCCTTCGACCTCATGGCTTGGTTTTTGCTCTGACATGCACTGTCAACTGTGGGACCATATATAGACAGGCGTGTGTCTTTTCAAATCATGTCCAATCAATTGAATTTACCACAGGTGGACACCAATCAAATTGTAGAAACATCTCAGGGATGATCAATGGAAACAGGATGTACCTGAGCTCAATTTCGAGTCTCATAGCAAAGGGCCTGACTACTTATGTAAATAAGGTATTTCTGTTTTAAATTAGTAAAATAAAAAACTGTTTTCGCTCTGTCATTATGGGTTATTGTGTGTGGATTGAGGACATAAAAAGAAATCCATTCTAGAATAAAGCTGTAACGTAACAAAATGTGGAAAAAGTAAAGGGGTGTGTATACTTTCCGAATGCACTGTATATATTCATTGGCTATATCAAGGCTAATTTGTATATGATAAATATTGATACATTACTAGCTCAAACACTTAATCTGCAAAAATAACAAGTTAATTACATTTCAGTTAATCGCTCAGCACTAATACATAGTACATACACCATAGTAGGCTTGGGCGGTATCCAGGTTTTCATATCGTCATACCGTCCTTCTCTCATCCCTGGATTTACGATATTACCTGAGTAGCCCACAAGGGGCGCCAAAAACAAAACAGTAGCCCATTGGGCCTCTATTACCAGAATACTAACAAAATTAGCACAAACTAATAGCGACATCACATAGACGGTTTTAGCTAAACGAGCGAAAACCAACATAACTAATTGCAAATCCAGATAAGCATAGATAGTAGCTACTGAATGTCATTTTTGGTGAGTGTGGACATTTCCAAGCGAAAGTGAGTGAGAGAAATTGTGGAAATGAACAAAGTTGCGATGCATGCTTTTCTGTGTACACGGAGGAGATTGGAGGAGGGAAAAAAAGCTAGTAGGAAGCACAGGGAAAAAATGGCAACTGTACACAACTCATCCAGAGCTTTTTTGACTTCTGGCATAAATCCATTAGAAGATGCCTTATGGCAAACATTTAGTAGTGAATTGCATACAAGTGTAACTTCATCACCTCGTGCACCGCACAACAGAGGCTCGCCGAAAGATATAGAACGCTATGGACTCACCAGCTCCTGCTTTCTCCCGCTATGCTATTTACAAACAAACACGTGACTGGCTCAACTTTTCTGGGGAACTTATAATGTAAAATAATGTGATAGGTGAAATTAAGAACGCAATCTGCTTTATCTCCTAACATATTGCAGAAGTTGACTGCAGGTATTAACTTAAAAAGTAGCTACAAATATTAAAATGTATTGAAAAACTTAAAAGAAATAGTATTGACAATATTGAAAAACCATCCTATGGGTTTTTCCAAATACCCCGTTATATGGTATACCGCCCAAGCCTACACCAAAGACCATACATATTTTACACACACATGAGCTCCATCAGCAGCAGATTTAAATTTTAAATGGAAATGAATGTGTTTATGCAACAAATGTTAGTGCATCGAACCGAATCGCATCAATTCATTCTTTAATCAAACCGAATCGCACCGAATCGTTTCAAACTAAAACGTATCGTTCCTGTATCGTATTGAATCCCATGGCATGTATCTAGAGAAGTACCGAATCGTCTTGAAAAGGAAAGATATACATTCCTACTTGTTTAGCTATCTTCTGTTACCTTTGTTGTTGTAGGTTCTGTAACCCCCGATATGTGGATTTTGATGAGCTGGAGAGAAAGTTTTGGAAGAACCTGACTTTTAACCCCCCTCTCTATGGAGCGGATGTCAATGGAACACTCTATGATCCAGTGAGTGATTCCATCTCATTCCATGACCATTCCATGTTCTAATTCTATTTCAATAGACCATTCACTGTCATTAAACCAGCTTTTACTTTACCAATGTATTCTCCAAACATCAGCCCTCCATTTGGCTCCACTTCGGATTTGAACCCACAACCTTCTGTTTAAATGTCAATGTCCTCACCCTTAAAGGTCCAAATCAGCTGTTTTTATCTCAATATCAAATCATTTCTGGGTATCAATTAGTATCTTGTGATTGTACAACTGTGATTGTTTTCAATTAAAATGGTGAAAAATAAACAAATAGCTTCTCAGCAAAGAGCAATTTCTCAAGCAAGAATTCTGCTAGGATTATCTGGGAGTGGTCTGAGTGGGGAGAGAAACTGAAAAATAGCTGTTATTGGTTTGGAACTGTCTTTCTTTCTTATTGGTCTATTAACTAATTTAACGGCAGGTGATGTCACCAGCAGGCCAAAACTCCATCGCCCCACAACAGGCTGACATTTCAGGCTGCCTTTTCAAACAGCTCTTACACAGAAAGGGCATTATCATAATTTTCACAATTTCACAGTATTTTTCCAACCTCAACCACACTGGGCCTTTAACAACATTGTCTCTAACATCGTCTCTGCTCTATCTCTCCTAGGATGTGACAGAGTGGAACATTGGTCATCTGAACACTATCCTGGACACGGTGGAGAGGGAGAGTGGGATCAAGATCAAAGGGGTAAACACTCCTTACCTGTATTTTGGCATGTGGAAGAGTACCTTCGCCTGGCACACTGAAGACATGGATCTCTACAGCATCAACTACCTTCACTTTGGAGAGCCCAAGTCCTGGTAAAGTTTTTGATTTATTTTGCACAGTTAGAAAATAAACACACAAGGTTCAGTGCAGTGAAGTTATACCAATAGATATTTAATGTATGTCGATTTTACAGCTTACAAATGAAACGTGTGTGTGTGTGGGTTGTTATTATACGTAACACCCAACACTAGTGTCCTGTCCAGGATGTGTACATCAAGCTGCTTCATGCTACAGAAAAAGGAGATTGGCTCCTACCCAATGGGCCGCTCTGGCTAGGACAAAGCTTATTTGATTTACTTACTTACCTAACACATAGCATCTTGACTACCACTTACATAGTTGCTCTTATATCTCCACAGGTATGTTGTTCCCCCTGAACATGGGAAGAGATTGGAGCGTCTCACTAAAGGTACTTGAAAAGGAATTTCCTCATTGATCCTCATTCCTTATTGTTAATCAATATGTTCTATGTCCAGACAGTAGTCAGCAGAATTCCTAACATAATTGACTTCTTCTCATGCAGGGTTTTTCCCTGGGAGTGCTCAGAGCTGTGAAGCTTTCCTGCGGCACAAGATGACTCTAATCTCACCCTCCATCCTGAAGAAATATGGCATACCATTTGAGAAGGTGACCTCTCTTTCATTTACATTTTAGTCATTCAGCAGACGCTCTTATCCAGAGCGACTTACATGAGCAATTAGAGTTAAGGGCACATCGACATATTTTTCACCTAGTCGGCTCGGGGATTAACCTTTCGGTTACTGGCACAACGCTCTTACCCACTAAGCTACCTGCCGCCCCATCTTTCAATGGCATAATACAATCCGCTTTACTGACCTAAACTTTTTTGGGTATACAGTAGGTTGTTACAGTGGCATGATTTGACTGTTTTAGGAGTAATAATAGTAGTGTTTTCAATAATAGCATTGTATGTAATGGATCCACTTGGGCTGGGCGATATAACGATAGTATTGGATATCAAAGATGCTTGACAGCCATCGTTGTTGGTGATGACATCGTGATGTGACAGACAATGTATAGCCTATTTCAACATGACTGGCACCACGCAGTAAATAGTTAACCTATTTCAATAAATATGTTATAAACAATTTACAGAATGTAAGAAAACAATGTAGACAGAGTGAAGATTTTCTTCAAAGCAGCACAAAATGTCCAGTTATAATTGTTTTGTTTTTTTCTCTCTCAATGTCGGATTATCTGGGCCATATAGCCGGACACTCCGGTGTTTAATTATTTTAAAAATCTAATTTGGTGTTTTCTCGCCATATTATATGAATCTGACTGTTTATGCATGCTGGCTTTCTCCCACCACGCTACTTCATGATCAAACAATACATTTATCTGACGGAGTTCTAGGCTATCTCAGAAAGTTGTGATTTTGAATAACCTAAAAACAAGATACATTTACATTTTAGTCATTTAGCAGACGCTCTTATCCAGAGCGACTTACAGGAGCAATTAGGGTTAAGTGCCTTGCTCAAGGGCACATTTACGTCATTTAGCACACACTCTTATCCAGAGCGACTCACCAATTGGTGCGTTCACCCTATAGCCAGTGGGATAACCACTTTACAATTTTTGGGGGGGGGGGGGGGGGTAGAAGGATTACTTTATCCTATCCCAGGTATTCCTTAAAGAGGTGGGGTTTCAAATGTCTCCGGAAGGTGGTGAGTGACTCCGCTGTCCTGGCGTCGTGAGGGAGCTTGTTCCACCATTGGGGTGCCAGAGCAGCGAACAGTTTTGACTGGGCTGAGCGGGAACTATGCTTCCGCAGAGGAAGGGGAGCCAGCAGGCCAGAGGTGGATGAACGCAATGCCCTCGTTTGGGTGTAGGGACTGATCAGAGCCCGAAGGTACAGAGGTGCCGTTCCCCTCACTGCTCCATAGGCAAGCACCATGGTCTTGTAGCGGATGCGAGCTTCAACTGGAAGCCAGTGGAGTGTGCGGAGGAGGGGGGTGACGTGAGAGAACTTGGGAAGGTTGAACACCAGACGGGCTGCGGCATTCTGGATGAGTTGTAGGGGTTTAATGGCACAGGCAGGGAGGCCAGCCAACAGCGAGTTGCAGTAGTCCAGACGGGAGATGACAAGTGCCTGGAGTAGGACCTGTGCCGCTTCCTGTGTAAGGCAGGGTCATACTCTCCGAATGTTGTAGAGCATGAACCTGCAGGAGCGGGTCACCGCCTTGATGTTGGCGGAGAACGACAGGGTGTTGTCCAGGGTCACGCCTAGGCTCTTCGCACTCTGGGAGGAGGACACAGCGGAGTTGTCAACCGTGATGGCGAGATCATGGAACGGGCAGTCCTTCCCCGGGAGGAAGAGCAGCTCCGTCTTGCCAGGGTTCAGCTTGAGGTGGTGATCCGTCATCCATACTGATATGTCTGCCAGACATGCAGAGATGCGATTCGCCACCTGGTTATCAGAAGGGGGAAAGGAGAAGATTAGTTGTGTATCGTCAGCGTAGCAATGATAGGAGAGGCCATGTGAGGATATGACAGAGCCAAGTGACTTGGTGTATAGGGAGAAAAGGAGAGGGCCTAGAACTGAGTCCTGGGGGACACCAGTGGTGAGAGCACGTGGTGCGGAGACAGCTTCTCGCCACGCCACTTGGTAGGAGCGACCGGTCAGGTAGGACGCAATCCAGGAGTGAGCCGCGCCGGAGATGCCCAGCTCGGAGAGGGTGGAGAGGAGGATCTGATGGTTCACAGTATCAAAGGCAGCAGACAGGTCTAGAAGGACAAGAGCAGAGGAGAGAGAGTTAGCTTTAGCAGTGCGGAGAGCCTCCGTGACACAGAGAAGAGCAGTCTCAGTTGAATGACCATTCCTGAAACCTGACTGGTTTGGATCAAGAAGGTCATTCTGAGAGAGATAGCAAGAGAGTTGGCTAAAGACGGCACGCTCAATAGTTTTGGAAAGAAAAGAAAGAAGGGATACTGGTCTGTAGTTGTTGACATCAGTGGGATCGAGTGTTGGTTTCTTGAGAAGGGGAGCAACTCTCGCTCTCTTGAAGACGGAAGGGACATGGCCAGCGGTCAAGGATGAGTTGATCAGCGAGGTGAGGTAGGGGAGAAGGTCACCGGAGATGGTCTGGAGAAGAGAGGAGGGGATGGGGTCAAGCGGGCAGGTTGTTGGGCGGCCTGCAGTAACAAGTCGCAGGATTTTATCTGGAGAGAGAGGGGAGAAAGAAGTCAAAGCATAGGGTAGGGCAGTGTGAGTAGGACCAGCAGTGTCATTAGACTTAACAAACGAGGATCGAATGTCGTCAACCTTCTTTTCAAAGTGGTTGACGAAGTCATCCACAGAGAGAGAGGAGGGGGGGGGCGGGGGGGGGGGGAGGATTCAGGAGGGAGGAAAATGTGGCAAAGAGCTTCCTAGGGTTAAAGGCAGATGCTTGGAATTTAGAGTGGTAGAAAGTGGCCTTAGCAGCAGAAACAGATGAAGAAAATGTAGAGAGGAGGGAGTGAAAAGATGCCAGGTCGGCAGGGAGTTTAGTTTTCTTCCATTTCCGCTCCGCTGCCCGGAGCTCTGTTCTGTGAGCTCGCAATGAGTCATCAAGCCACGGAGCTGGAGGGGAGGACCGAGCCGGCCGGGAGGATAGGGGACACAGAGAGTCAAAGGATGCAGAAAGGGAGGAGAGGAGGGTTGAGGAGGCAGAATCAGGAGATTGGAGGGAGAAGGATTGAGCAGAGGGAAGAGATGATAGGATGGAAGAAGAGAGAGTAGTGGGAGAGAGAGAGCGAAGGTTGCGGCGGTGCATTACCATCTGTGTAGGGGCAGAGTGAGTAGTGTGGGAGGAGAGCGAGAGAGAAAAGGAAACAAAGTAGTGGTCGGAGACATGGAGGGGAGTTGCAGTGAGATTAGTAGAAGAGCAGCATCTAGTAAAGATGAGGTCAAGCGTATTGCCTGCCTTGTGAGTAGGGGGGGACGGTGAGAGGGTGAGGTCAAAAGAGGAGAGAAGTGGAAAGAAGGAGGCAGAGAGAAATGAGTCACATGTGGACATAGGGAGGTTGAAATCCCCCAAAACTGTGAGGGGTGAGCCATCCTCAGGAAAGGAACTTATCAAGGCGTCAAGCTCATTGATGAACTCTCCAAGGGAACCTGGAGGGCGATAGATGACAAGGATATTAAGCTTAAATGGGCTAGTGACTGTGACAGCATGGAATTCAAATGAGGAGATAGACAGATGGGTTAGGGGAAAAATTGAGAATGTCCACTTGGGAGAGATGAGGATTCCTGTGCCACCACCCCTCTGACCAGATGCTCTCGGGGTATGCGAGAACACATGGTCAGACGAGGAGAGAGCAGTAGGAGTAGCAGTGTTTTCAGTGGTAATCCATGTTTCCGTCAGCGCCAGGAAGTCGAGGGACTGGAGATTAGCATAGGCTGGGATGAAGTCAGCTTTGTTGGCAGCAGAACGGCAGTTCCAGAGGCTGCCTGAGACCTGGAACTCCAGGTGTGGGGTGCGTGCAGGGACCACCAGGTTAGAGAGGCAGCAGCCACGCGGTGTGGGGCGTTTGTGTAGCCTGTGCAGAGAGGAGAGAACAGGGATAGGCAGAGGCATAGTTGACAGGCTGTAGCAAATGGCTACAATAATGCAGAGGAGATCGGAATGAAATGAACTAAACATCTGGGACAGTAGAGAGCAGGGCCTCCCTCACCAAAAACTTCTACTTCTAACAACTATAATTGTTTCACTGAACCACCCGAACAAAAACTCTACCAACTTCCACCTTTAGAAATCAGAATTGTTGTGAACCACAGCGGTTCAATGTTTAAAGGAATAGACTCAACCCACTTTATTCAGCTAGCTAACTATGACACCATAGCTAACTAGCATGCTAGCATCCAAAAACACACAGTTTAGCACCAACACTTGCATCCAAAAACACACAGTTTAGCGCCAACACTTGGTCACAACAAACCACCAATAGTGTGTTAACACACTAAGCAGATAATTAGTGTCCGTGTCTGTTGGCTAGCTAGCAATGGCCACTGTGTTGACCTTGTTTGAAGAACGGCTAGCTAGCTAGCTTCGTGCTACCCCCGGCACCGCCGAACAACAATGCCAACCCACAGTAACTAACCACAACAGCCCACGATGCCTAGCTATGACGCCATAGCTAACTAGCATGCTAGCATCCAATAACACACAGTTTAGCACCAATACTTGGTTACAACAAACCACCAAGAGTGTGTTAACACACTAAACAGATAATTCATGTCCGTGTCTAGTTTCTTTCGTAACGCAGCAAAAAATTAAGCGTTGGTTAGCTAGCACATTAACATTGGAAACAACTCTCCACCGTTGCACTAAACAGATAATTACCAATAAACGTTACCAGTAGCTACCCGCTAGCTAGCTAGCATACTACATATGAGATGGGTACTGCAAGATATGTAAACATTGTGTGTGTCGCTAGTCTGTAGCATGTCCTGCAGCAGGACAAAGCCTCTCTGTAAGAGGGAGAGAGAAGCTCCTAATTTAATAGCACACGAATGGACTGGAGTTTGGGATTCCAATGCTTCTCTCTCATCCCTAAGGTAATAAGGATAGAGGTAAAACGAACAATAGCTAAATTGAACGAGTAGTTTGAATTAACCTTAGACTAAGCTT